GAGTATTCAGGTCTCCTATTACTGTTGTATTCATGCATATTTGATATTTCATGTCTATTAACATTTGTTTTTTATAGTTCTTGCACTAGTATTTGGTGCATATATATTTGGGATTGTCACCTCTTTCTCTTCAATTGTTCCCTTTACAAGGATGTAGTGGCCTTTTTTGTCTCTCTTAATTACTCTTGGTTTGAAATTCATTTGATCTGCAAATAAGATAGCTACTCCTGCTTTTTATTCAGGTTCCTGTCACATGGAATATTGTTTTTCACCCTTTAATTTTCAGTCTATGAGTTTCTTTTCTAATTAAGTGTGTTTCTTGTATGCAGTATATTGTTGGATCTTGCTTCTTGACCCATTCTGCTAGTCTATTTCTTTTGACTGGTGAATTGACACCATTAACATTGATGGTTGTAACTGATATGTATTATCCTTGCCATGACTTATCCTTGTCTTGCTAAATTTCCCCCTTTGCATTTAATTTCTTGTCTTGCCTTGTAGATTCATTCTGCTGCACCTCATGAAGTTGTGACCCTCTCTGTCTTCTCCTAGGATATTGTTTAAATATTTTTGGAGTGCTGGTTTGGTATTCATGAAGTTCCTCAGGTGTTCTTTGTCATGAAAGTATCTTATTTCTTCATCAATTTTGAAAGATAGTTTTGCAATCAATCAGGTTGGAGATTGTTTTTTTTTAGAGCTTGAAAAACTTCACTCCAGGCTCTTCTTGACTTGAGGGTCTGTGTTGAGAAGTCAGCTGTGATTTTGATGGGCTTTCTTCTGTAATGTGATTTATTTCTTTTCTCTAACTGCTTGTAGTATTTTGTTCTTCTGTTGCATTTCTGGAATCTTAACTATTACATGCCTAGGTAAAGTTTTTTTTTTTATCATGGCTAGTTGGAGTCCTACATAGCTCACTTATCTGTATGTCAAGTTGTTTTCCCCTGCTTGGGAAGTTTTCTCCCATTACTTCTGTGAACAGTTTTTTTTTTTTAATGTTGTTTGCACTCTCTCGTGTTTCTTCATTGACTTTGATCAGGCTTATGTTATTCTTCTTTGCATCATCTAGCAGCTGCTGGATCAATTTCTTATCGTCCCTTGCTATTTTTAAGAAGTCTTTCTTTTCCTGGTCACTAATTTCAATCCTATCTTCTATATCTGATATTCTGTCCTCACATTGGCTCATTCTGCTATGTAAACTTTCAGTGGAGTTTTTAATTTCCTGGAAATCTGTTTGCATCTGTTTTATGGATTCCGTTTGTTTCCTAAGCTGGGATTCCATCATGTTCTTCAGCTCTTCTATTTTTTTAAATCTGTGTCAGCTCTAGAGTTATTAATCATGTCTTTCACTGTGGGCACAATCTCTGTTGTTATCTGAGAAATCATTTTTTATTTTATTTTTTCCAGATCCTCTTTCATTGCCAGTTCAGGGAGTCCAGGTGGTTGAGTTTCAGATTGTTCCAACTTGTTGACTCTTGGGATTGCCTTTGGTGATCTGGAAGTCTGGTTTTGAGTCTTATTTAGGTGTCTTTTCATTTCAACCAATACAGTTCCCCTGTACCTTTATTTAGGTAACTCTGTTCTCTCAGTGGGCTTAAAATCTTAACAAGCCTCAGAGAGGCCTTCTCTCTATTGCTCACCACTGTGTCAATTCTGTTGGTGTCTGGGCAGGTCTCTTGTTGGGGCCTGAGCACCCAATCCAATAGTGTCTGGGTAGGGCCCTGGCTGGCATCTGCATGCCCGTGCTGTTGTTGTCCAGATGGGCTTCTGAGTGAATAAAATTTTAACCAAGCATTCAGGTTGGATTTGTGTAAAAGTTTTTAGAAAATCTTTTCATTGTTTTATACTATTGGAAGAAAAATATAAGCTGCTTTTCCTCTCCCTCATCCTTTAATTATGACTGTAAAATTGACAGTTTAAAATTGTATAAATGTAGCTATACAAAGTGATGTTATGATGTATGAAAACCATGTGGAATAATTGAATCAAGCCATACTTTCTTAGTTCCCAGATTAATAGGTAAACAACCCTCCCATTCTTTGTGCCCGAGGCTGCATACATTTAGTCCTATGTGACTAAACTTGAAATCTTGAGCAAAGTGATTACACTCAAAGAACACTCTCATGATCAATAGACACAACAAAATTAATCATTCAGTCTCTCCAGGGCAGCTAATTCACCTGAGTTATTTGAGTAAATCAGCTATTTATTCATCATTTATGAAAAGACTACTTTGTGTCAAGCTCTTTGTTGACTCCTGTTGGTACAAATTCTGATAAGTTGTTTCCTGTCTCCCATGAGTTTTCCTTATATTGGGAAGCACAAATAAATGAACTGTTTGACAGTTGTGGTCACCTGTATAATCCCTACTAAATTGTCAGAAAGAGTAGCACCTCTGGAATCAGATTGAATTAAGTTCAAAATTCCCTTTACCATTCACTAGCTGTGTTACTTTTAGGAAGTTGCTCAATCATTTTGAGTTTTAACTTTTGCACAATAAGATACAAATACACTTTGAACTAAGGTCTACTTTACAGTGCTATTTTACAGTGAAGGGTGGCCCTTCAGGGTTCCAGGTGAAAATCTTGTGTGTTTATTTGTACACTTCCACATCCAGTCAGCTCAATGTTTGTGCTGCCAGTTCTGTGAGATGACCAGAAGTACTGCATAGCTTCCAAGTATTTAAGTAGCTACTTTCAAATTGTCAGGTGTAATGACAGACAAAAATAGGACCAAATGTTTGACACATGCCTCCATGACCTTCCCTTCTCTTCACATCATAGTCTTGCAACAATATAGTCGGGGTACCTTCAATCAGATTTTTTTTGTTCATAGTTTTGTTTTTATAACTCTTCTAGTAATTTTATCACTCTGTTAAGCTGTTCTTCAGTAGTCCAAAAGCTGTCTTCACTTATAGAAGAAAAACTCTATAAAATAGTATATTGCTTATGGTTGTTTGTTTTTCAGTGGTGAGGATGGAACCCAGGAACTTGCATGTATTAGACCAGTTTTTTGCCACTGAGCTACAACCCCAGCCCTCATATCCTGGAGCATACTGTTAACAGATATTTTTTAAAAACTTATTTGGAGCCTCAAGCATAGTAGAAAATGATATCTAAGACCTAAGTATATGAAGTAGTAGACTAATAGAAAAAATGCCTACAAAAGGACAAGATGGAAATGTTCACATGCAAATGACAAATATAAAATATTCATTCTTTACATAAAAGAAATCCCAAGAAAAGATGAAGAGAAGGAACAGTTCAAAAACCAATAAAAAGCAGCATTTCCTAACTAAAGAAAAACCTGAGTCTACAAATCAAAAGATTGAAAAGCTCGGAGTTCCAGGAATAATTACTGAAAATATATCTAGATTTATTCTGGTGAAATATCTGAATTAGAAAAATGGAAAAAATGAAACAAAAATTTTATACATAGAAAATGGGTGTGTTTTTTATAAATGGTAAAACAAAATTATTTTATGAAGTTACCACCCATTGTTTTCTACATAAAATACACCAAATTTTAGGCTTATTTGTATATCTACAATAATAAAAGCCTATAGTTTTCAATTGGCATCTAAGTATGCCCAATGTTTCTTTAGATTGATAACTATTGCTTGATATCAATTTAATGGTTGTGATTGAAAGAGCTATTATTATTCTTGTGGTCAGCTCACTGTGGAAAGCTAAGGGATAGTGTCTTCATCTACTGTAATCATGATTATTTCATATTGTTCTGTATTTCCTTATGATGCTTTGTACTTTCACTCAACTCATGATTGTGATTTATAGATCCTGCTTCCTAATAGAAATACAATTTTAAAATTTATGGTAAATGAAGACTAAATAAGGTATAAGAGGAAAAGCAAACTAATAAACAGGAACAATTGATTGTATTTTTCTGAAAAGACTCTTGTAAGAGAAAGTTCTTGAGATGTCCTAAATTTAATTCCATGGACCTGAGGATGAAAGTGGAGAGAGAGAATTAGTTAACAGTTAGGAGCCAAACCAAGGAAAGACTCACGTTCCCAAAGGTGTGTTGAAACCTTGACACCACCAGGTGTCACCTATCCTGCTTACAAATATTAACCACAGCCAGAAAGATTCTCCTCTCCCAATATTTTCCTTGCTTTGCATTATTCCACCACTCTGGTCAATAGCCAAAGTAGGTTTAATATAAACAATTTATATTTTCCTTCCCCAAGTTTCCATTATGCTCTTGGTTCTTAGTGTAGTAGACCTATTTCCACTACCTTGTTTCTGGCAGTTGTGGAACTTGTCCCATGACTTGATCATTTTCTGATTAGCATGTTAATGGCTCCCTACCTTTCTTGAGATCCTCAGTGTCAAGAGTTTTGGTTTAATGCTCAATTTTATTGGCAAATGGAAGGTAGTAATGTTATGCATTTATAAATAAACAGTTAAAAAAGCAAAATTGTAGTACAAATTTGAATTCATTCAACTGATGGAGCTGAATTTTTATTGGTTGGTAGTTAATTGCAGTGGAGAACAAAAGCAATGTTTTCTAATGTGGTAAATGTTGTTTTCACAAAACAGCCATATGGACTTCCACAGACTTAGTAAATTATTACACAGCCTTACTCTCTGTCTGGTAGACTTGCAAAAGCCATAGGGGTATATGACATGAGCATGTAATTTTGACATCATGCCATACTCCACTTTGCTTCACCTAACATACAAATCTATACAAATATAAATCCATATAAACAACATATAAATCTACAAATAACATATAAATCTAACATTTGTGAAAAAAATGCAAATTTTCTAAATACTTTTTGTATATTTTTCTTCTTTTAAATGCCTCCTCTCTCTTTCTCTCTCTCACACACACACAGATACATACATACTAATATACACAGATTATATGCAGACAGAAAAAACTAGGTGGCCTATGACTTAGTTACTGTACTTTCTTATAGCTGAGACACAATACCTGACACCCACCACTTACAGGAGGAAAGATTTATTTTGACTCACAGTTTGCAGAAGTTTCAGATAGTAGGCTGGCTGAAAGGCAAGGCAGCAAGGCAGAGGGGCATGGCAAAGGAGAACTGCTCATAGCATGGTGGGCAGGAAACAAAAAAAAAGCCATCAAGGGAGGAAGGAGGGAAATAGACCTTTCCAGGCCACACCTCCAGTAATCCACCTTCTCCAACCAGGCTTCACTCAACATCACCTTTAGCTATAAACTCATCAGTGAACTAATCCACTGAAAAGTGTCAAGCTCCGGTGACCCAATCATTCCCCAGAGCCTTACCTATGAGACCCTAAGGCTTTGGGAGGATATCTGGATATAATCCATAGCAGACTAACATAGAAATCTAGAATTCTGTTGATACACACACACACACACACACACACACACACACACACAGACATACAAACAGGCACACTCAATACCTTTCCAAGTCTTCAGGTAAAAAAATGTTAGTAGAAAAAAATCATCTTTAACTGTTTAAAATAAAGTTAGACAAGTTATACTCTAGAAGTATATAACACTATTTTTAAAAGAATCTTGCTTTCAGTAATATCTATCTGTTTAAAATGTATGAAAATAAGCTTAAACATAAAGGCTAGTTGAGAAGACCTTGGAAATAGCATTATGTACATTATGTACATGCTAAATAATGCAAATCAACAATGTTAGAATACAGCTGTTTTGGTTTGAATTTAAGCTCTGCAATAACATTCTTCTTTATTTGACATTAATCAATAGAGATAAATCACTTTAAATATGGCATGAAAAGTAAAAAATAACCACACAACAAAAATAGAATGTAGACTTACCAATTCACAGAGGAGAAAGATAAGCCAATATATAGAATCCAAGTAGCAACACAGAAAGAATGGGAGATAGAGAAACTGGCAAATCTGAAAAATAACAGATAACAAATTAAACATAACAAAGTATTTTCCTCATTCTCATCATTTAACTTCCACCTTCCATTCTTAATTCCTAAAAATGGCAACCCCTTTCCTGGTTTCTGTTACATATCTAAGCAGGGACAAGAAAATTAGGCATTTGGAATTGCAATCAAACCCAGAGAAAGAAACAAAGATTCTCTTAGCATAATAGTGTGCAAGACATACACATTTTGGCAGGTCTGTGTAATATGGCTTCAAAGCCCACAGAATCCAAAATGCATCCACCTTCCCACAATCCCAACCCTATCTCAAACAAAAGCCAATAGAACTGAGTAATAATTCCCCTGAAGATGAGGGGTACACTGAGACCAACTGTAGCTGGAAGATGTGAAAGAAAACAGATATAGGGTCAAAAGAAATAAAAGTTCTTAATTTCCTAATGACTATGAGGGGGGACTCATCATAAGGCAACTTGATAGTTGAGGCTGAAGAGCTCAAGGCATGAGATGAATGGTACAGAGAAGGCATTCCTACATCCCCAATCCCACTGGATTCTGGGGATTGGAAGATCAGACACAAGATTGTAGTACTACTTTTTGCTAATTTATGAATCTTGTGCATATTTGGGTGGTTAAACATTTAGTACTAGAAAGTTCTACCCCTCCTACCTACTAGTAAGTACACAAGAGTCTCAGAATTACACAAATACTATTTTGCTGATAAATCAGGCTGTATCTTTGTTTACAGTATCCTCCTCCTTAATTTACATAATGACCTTCTCAGAGACTTTTGTCTCTTTAGTGAGTCTACACTCCAGCATTAAAACAGTACCTTTCCTGATCACTTGCTCAAACACTCAATGATCGATCATTCAGCTGCACTGAGAAGAAGTGCAGTGGCCAGGAAAACTGGTTTAAAGAGTACAGCTCTGGGAGGTGTTAAATGGGCTGCTCCCATCTTGAGATTCTCATTTAGGTCAGTTTGACCAATCTTGAATTCCTAATACTTCTTTCTTATGTTAGTGAAAGGTTTGTACTCATGAGAAGGCACAGCTAAATATCATATCAGTGCCTTGATGTTTTTTTTACCTTCTCTCCTCTTTCAACACACTCCACAAAGTTAGGGAAAACAACAGAAATGCTTACTTAACTGTGATGTTTTTAGACCCTAAATAGTAAGGCGCTCCACAAAAAGAAGCATCATGGCTTCAAACTGGTCTCAGATACCAAATTGATATTCAATAATTGATAAACCAAGTTTTTTAATCTACATGATTTAGTCTTTTAAGCCTCTTCACCATGACCAAATGCAATCTGGTATTCCTAATTGGATCTTGAAATGGAAAAAAGAAATTAGTAGAAAATTGGTGAAATCTGAAAAAATGGAATTCAGCTAAAGTGAAATATCCTTTATCTTTGACAAATGTACCATGGTAAAATTACGCATTAACTTTAGGGAAAACTGGGTGATTGATGTACTGAAATTCTCCATATTGTCCTTGTATTTAATCTTTCATAAATCTAAATTATTCCAAATAAGTTGGTTTTTTTTTAATTGCTTTTCTCACCAGATCCAAAAGTGCAGCACTTTGTAGCAATTGAAGAAAATGGCTAAATGAAATCACTGCTTTGTATACCCAAAAGTCTTTGCAATAAGACAACAGCCAGCAGCGTTTCAGGCAGGCTCTTTAGAAGATTGATATTGAATCTGAATTTTAACCTCATATAAATATTTTATTATATTATCTGTTCTATTAAATAAATCAACTTTATTCTAGTAATGGAAACTGACAGAGTTTTAATGTTCAAATATTCTTAAGGAAACATTCTTAAAGGGCAAAAATCAATACAATAATCCAAGGGGATAAAACTTTGTCATCAGATAGCATTCATGAGATTTCTTGTTGCTACTCATCCCCACGAACAAGAATCCACAGAGTACTAGTATACCACAAAGAGCAAATCCATGCATTATGTAAGTGACGTAATAAATGTAAGTGGGCTAAATTTCCTCATTAAATCACAATAATCTTCAATTTGAGTCCAAAAACAGCTATCTAAATATACTTCACAAGAAAAAAAAATCACAAATTTTTAGATGAAAATGGTACAGTGGGCTCCTGTTTCCAAAACCATCTCTGTTCCTCAGATATAAAAGTAACAAAAAAATGCAGACACACCTCAGTGTTCATGGAAGATTATTTCCATGACCCTTCATGAGAAGCAAAACTTGTGGATGTTCAAGTACTGTATTTAATATAATGTAGTATTTTCATACAGCCTACACACATATTTTAAATCATCTCAAGATTACTTATAATGTCAAATACAAATGCAAATGTTATATCAATCATTTTATAATGTATTGTTTATGGAATACTGCTCCCAAAAAAGTCTATACATGTTCAGTACAGATACAGGGTTTCTTTTTTTTTTCAATATTTTCAACCTGAGATTGGTTGAATCTGCCAAGGCAGAATTCACAGATATGGAGAAGAGGTTGTAATGCAAACAATAAAATAAAATAAAACAACTTAGTAATTAAACATCATGGAGGACTAGAGATAGAGACAGACAAAAGCAAAATGGACAGTGGGTCTGAATCCACAGAATGGCTGACTCTGGACCAAACATTGCCAGTGGGAACAAAGGAAATTAAAAAGTTCCATCTAAAAGCAGTGCCAGTCTCATTTATTAAAGCCAAAGTGTGAGTTTGGTTCCTCCAAATCCTGCAAGGAAGTTTATAAATGAGTAATCATAATAACAAAATAATCAAAAATCTTGCAGAGGGCTTTCTAGGATTATAGTTCTACTCTAAGTAGAGACAGAAGACTTAGAACAGCACTTGACCAGAATATAAGACCAGAAAACTTTCTCTTCTCTGCCACCCTAACTCTGTCTTCAACATCCCAAATATCATCGTAGAGAACTAATGTCCAAAAAAGTATATGATCTACTTCCAGATTGGGGAAAAGAGACTGAGTGTTGGCAATAACAAAACCAGTCCAAACAGTGAATAAAGATAACAAAGAAGAGATGGACATGGTGGCTCACACCTGTGATCCTGGCTACTTGGGAGGGTGAGGCAAGTGGATCAGAAGTTTGAAGCCAGCCTGGGCAATTTAGTGAGGTCCTGTCTCAAAATAAAAAATATTAATGATGTATCTGTGGTAGAGTGCTTCCTTAGCATAGTTTTGATCCCCAGAAGAATAAAAGAAAAGTAAGAGATAAAACATCCACAGAAAACAGATGTCCCCATCCCCCTAAAAGTAATTTAAAACATATTTGTGGTAAGCAGAATTCTAAGATGACTCAAGATTTCTACCCATTGCCTAATTAGATCCCCTTGAGTGTAGGCAATTCTGTGAATATGATAAATAACCCTCCATGGATGGAGCTACATTATATGACAAGGGTTAAAGGACCTTAGAGATGTAACAGATGTAACTAAGGTCCTTAATTCACCTTGAGATTATCCTGGAGAGACCTGATCTAACCAGATAAGGTCTTTTTAAAGAGGTCACAAATCACCTTTCCTGTTGAACATGAAGAGGTAAGTCACCATTAATTCTACAACTGCAAGGAAATAGATTCTACCAATAACCACTTGAGCTTGGAAAAGAACTCCAAACTTCAGATAAAGGTATAGCTTTGGCAAAACCCTTAATTGCAGCCTATTAGACCCTGTTCTAAGATTTTTCTAAGACTTCTGAAACTTTGAAAGTATATGTTTGTAAATGGATGCTGTTTTAAGGCATTGAGTTTGTAGTGATTTGTTATTCAGCATTGAAAACCAATAGAAATTTCAATACTGGGATAGACAACCAACAAATTCACTCCATATGAAATCCAAACCATAAAAAAAAGACTTTTAAATACCTTACACTACAACAAGATAAAGGAAGATATCACTTTAACTAAAAGACCAAGAAGAGTGAAAAATTTAGGAGCTGTAAACAGAAACAAAACAAGAATATATAAAATTTAACGTTAAGATATTAGAAATTTAAAATTGCAATTTTAGTGAAATGCAATGTAAGTAATAAACTTTATAATGTACACTTTCAAAATGAGAATTAATAAGCAATATGCCAGTACTGAGAACTCACTGTAATGCAAAGTATTAATCAAAGAGATTTCTAAAACCATAAAAATAATTAAGGTGAAATTTTATTTGTGGACTGATGATATGAGGTTATGCTCAAAAACCTTGAAGAATTTTAATAGCATGCACACTGGTTCTATAAGGGCTCTTACAATACAAAACCACCACACTCACTTGCTTCTCCCATTGAAAAGTTTCCCTGGGTGTTGCAAGGATAAGTGCCCCATCGATGCAAGGTCAGAATGCAAGGTGGCGATTTCTATCACCTCCTCTTTGGACTCTACCATTTACCTAGTACAAAAGCCAGATTTATGTTCAGTGATACCTATGCACTACATTAACCCGATCAAATTGCAACACAAATTACAGCTGCACTTTCATGTGTGATATCATCACTAAAAAACTCATCACAGCCCTTGGAACCTTTTATGCAGTCATTGACCCTGCGAACATTTTATTTTCTACAACATTTAATGAAGAAAAACTTCACTCTTCTCATGGAGACCTATATGACAGCTCTCCATCTCTCTATATTAGTATACTATATCCTATAGGAATCTTGTTTTCTTTAATATTTTAGAGTGGCATGCTCATTCATTACATTGATAGCATTCTGCTAATTAACTTGATGATCAGGAAATAGTAAAATCAGTTGCTTGGACTTGCATGTCAGAGGAAGATTAGATAAAGTGCGTAAAAATTCAAACACTTGCCACATATGTGAAGTTTTAGAGAACCAGTGGTCTGTGGCAGGTCTGGATAGCTCTACTAAATTGAGGGAAAACTATTGCCTTTTGTTCTCGCTCCCTGAAGAAAGTGGCACTATGCTTGGTAGATCATTTCAGATTTTTACAGAGAACATATACCATATCTTGGTACATTGCCCCAACCATTTGCAAGTT